GAATGGTGATCTCAGCGAGCAAGGCAATACAAGATTGGAGGAAGGTCCTAAACTCAGTGGTGCACAACTTGAAGCTGGAGTCCGAGGTTGCTCTGAAACCGTTCTCAGACAGGAAGGCAGTGTTGAGAATTGACAATGAGAAAATCAGGGGATTTACATCTTTTGAATGTGAAGAAAGTTTGATTCAGATTCAAAACTGGAAACCATTGTGTAATGAGATGGAACATGTCTGCGGAAGTTTCCTGCTCAAATTGGTAGGTCTTCCCTTCCATCTCCGGAGTGAAGCAAATCTGGGAAATATTGTGAAGCTGCTGGGCGGAGAAATGGAGGAAGTCCAACTGCAAGATTTTCGTGCTGCTGTGGTTAGGATGGTCGGGGTGAGACTGGAATCGCTCCCAAGAACAATAGAGGTTCTTGCTGAAGGTACATGGTTTAAAGTATGGTTAGTTTCAGAGGTGGAGGCAGAGCTTTGGGGATGAAGACCCAAGTTAGAAGACGATGCTGACATGGAGGGTTGGATTACTAGGGGCCTACAGCTGGACGGTAAGACTGAACATAGGGGGCAGCTTAGAAAGGAAGCTGAAAAGTCGGTGGGAGAGAACCAAAAGCCACAAAATCTATTAAAAGAAATAAATTCAAAATTTTTTGAATTAGCTGGTAATTCGAAGGGACAAGACACCTTCACTGACGTGGTTAAGAAAGGGAGATTTCTGCAGGCCGGGCCATCTGAACCGGTGGGTGGACCGATCGGCTCAGCCAGAAGGGGGAATCCCTACCCACGTGATTGTTTAAGTGAGCACGTGGGTCGGGGGAGATGGTTGGGGACTATAGATGATAGACATCATCTATCTTCTTCTTCTTCGAAAATTTTGGATGGGGGCGCTGTAGGTGATCTCAGGCAGTCAGAGCGAAGCTCAAGTACTCTCTGGTGGGTGCCTCACGCAGTTCCTGAAACACCCAGGGAGGGACGAACATCACAAGACAGACCAAACCCCAGGTACGATCGAGCTCATCTCGAGGAAAAGGATGGTTTTGACGAGGGCTGGGTGGACTGCAAAATGGAGGAAGACGACGTGGAAGAAGTTTCGGATAGCCAGTCCAGTTTAGGCAGTGTTTTGGGTGAGAAGTTTTCAGAGGAAGAAGCTGCTGCAACTCTTGATCTGGATACATTGTTCTCAAAAAGACCAGGTGCGGTAACGTCTCACTGTGCTGAGGAAGAGTCGTACATTGTTGTCGCTGAACACATTTCGAACTCTGGGGGTGGAAACTCTAACTCACACTCAGAAGCTCCATCTCAAAATCTCCTTGCTGAACAGGTTTTTTGTAAGGGATCCCTCGAGACTTCTCAAAGCAATAAAGGGACACAGTGGGGAGGCATAAGCAAGTGGGTAAGAGATGTGATCTCTGTTTAACAGAGGTGACGGAAAGGCTAGCTAATCAGAACCGAGCCTTGGAACCAGATGGAACCCACATTCCTTGTCAGGGTCAGACTGTTTCTGTATCCAACTCCAGCACTCCCAATCTTCCCCACCACAACCTAGGTAACCGTGTCCTTTCGTTTTGTGATACTAATTGTTGCTCTTTGACTTCCGTGCCAAATACAGATCCCAACCCAGAGGCTGCAGCCCTTGGAGGGGATGGGGTGAGAGAAAATAGAAGTGACAGGAAGGGTCAGGAGAGAGAAGTAGGGAATGAAGGAGAAACAGAAAAAAAGAAAAGAATCCTGGAAACCCTAGAGTGTGTTAAATGAAGCAGTGGTGGAAAACAGTCAAAAGGAAGGGTCAGAGGGAGTTAGAGTAGAGGGTTCTGAGGAGGAATGTGATATAGAAAGGGGGAGACAAAAATAGGGGAGGGAAGTAGAAAGTCAAGTGTAAGAGATGTAATTAGTGAGGATTCTGTGGCGGGTTTTGTACAGAAATTGGGGTGCAAATTGAAAGATCCAAATGTTCTCAAAGTATTTTTGAAAACAAAGAAAGAAGAAGCAAAATCTAAAAGGAGAAGAGTGAGTGAGGCTGAAAGGCTGCTAAAGGAGGTGGGAGGAGATAGAGGTTTGAAGGTCAAAGGAGAAAGAAGGAAGAGGAATAACTGAGGGCAGGAGGGTTTAAGGGGAAAGAAGATAGTTAGATGAGGATCTTAAGCTGGAATATCAGAGGTTTGGGAAGTGCTAGGAAGAGAGCAGTAACAAAAGAGGCCATCAAGAAAACAGACCCAGATGTGGTACTTTTGCAGGAGACCAAGAGAGCAGATTTTGACATTAGGTGGGCAAGGAGTGTCTAGAGAGGCAGGGGGATTAGCTGGGCGGCTCTGCCTTCCTAGGGGTCTACGGGGGGTGTTGTCACAATGTGGAAGAATGAAGTATTCATAGGTCAGGAAGAGTTAATAGGCCAATTTTCAATTTCCTTGAAGTTTAAACAAGTGGAGGATGGGTTTGAATGGGTTCTTACCAATGTATATGGTCCAAATGATTCCAGAGAGAGAAGGAAGTTGTGGGAAGAACTGGCTGATATAAGGGGACTATGGGAAGGGCCTTGGTGTCTTGGAGGTGACTTTAATGTTATAAGATTCCTGGAAGAGACAAATAGTCCAAGGCGGAGATCGACCTTGAGTATGAGGAAATTCAATCAATTTGTGGATGTTTACGAGCTTAAAGAGATCCCACTATCACACAGCTGTTTTACTTGGTCCAATCTCCAAGTGAACCCAATTTGCTCTAAGTTGGATAGATTTCTATTCTCAAATGACTAGGAAGAACATTGGGGGAATCTAAACTCTAGAGCATATCCAATGGTGACTTCTGACCATTGGCCTATTGTAATCTGTAGGGAGAAAGTGAGAAGTGTTGGTCCTGCTCCCTTTAGGTTTGAAAACATGTGGCTAGGACACCCGGGGTTCATAAAGAAAGTCAAAGAATGGTGGCTAGAAAGCAATCCAACAATGAAATGGAGTGGAATGAGGTTTCATAAGAAGCTCCAGTATCTGAAAGGCAAAATCAAGGAGTGGAATCTGTTAGAGTTTGGGAGATTAGAGGAAAGAAAGCAAATAGTGACTGCACAAATTGAGGACCTAGATGGCAAGGAAGAAAGGGGTTGTCTTACAGAAGAAGATAAGGAGCTAAGATGGAAATTGCATAAACAGTTAGAGGATTATCTTCTTCAGGAGGAAATAAGTTGGAGACAAAAATCAAGGTGTAAATGGCTGAAAGAGGGGAATAGGAATACCAAATTTTTTCATGCGGTGGCAAGTGGAAGAAGAAGAAGGAATTTTGTATCAAGTTTGGAGATTGAAGGGTTACAATATCCACCCAAAGAGAAATAGCAGGGGCTTTTGCAAATCACTTTAGGTCTATCTTTAGAAAACCCCTAAATAGTAGGGTGTGGATTGAGGGTATGGAATGGCCAGCTTTGCAGATAGAGAATAGGGATTGGTTGGAAAGGAAGTTTGAAGTGGAAGAGATAAGGGAGGCAGTGTTCTCTATGGATAGATCAAAGGCACCAGGCCTAGATGGTTTTACGATGGCTTTTTATCAAGATTGTTGGGAGATATTAAAGGAAGATTTGTGGACTGTGATTGATGAATTCCATTCTAGAGGGGTGATCAACCCAGGGCTGAACTCCACTTTTATAGAACTGGTTCTTAAGAAGAGGAATGCATGTCACTCAAAGGATTTTAGGCCGATCAGCATAGTCAACAGCCTTTATAAGATTATCACCAAGGTGTTGTCCATCAGAATAAGGAAAGTGCTCCCAACAATTATAGCAGATAATCAAGGAACCTTTGTGAAGGGGAGACAGATAATAGATCAGATTCTGATAGCAAATGAGAACTTGGAGGAGTTTAAGAGATCCAAGAAAAAAGGGTGATTTATAAACTGGATTTGGAAAAGGCTTATGATTTGGTGGATTGGTCTTTCTTGATGGAGGTGATGACCAATTTTGGTTTTGGGGATAATTGGTGCAGATGAGTCTTGGGTTGTATCAGGAACTGCCATTACTCCATACTAGTAAATGGGAGAGTGGTCGATTTCTTCCCAACCTTGAGAGGGATTAGGCAAGGAGACCCCCTCTCTCCCTTTTTATTTACTTTGGTAGCTGAAGTTCTGGGGAGACTAATTTATAGAGCAGATTCCAGGGGCTTAATCAGAGGTCGGAGAGTTGGGAGGGAGCTTGTGCCACTCACACATTTGGACTCTCACCCCCTCTGGTTCTTTCACTTGTGCCTCTTTCTTTAGTGCTCTCACACATTCTTCTTCTTCTGGCTTGTCTTTCCCTGTTAAAGAGGTGTGGTGTCATCCTATACCTCCTAAGGTTGGGAGTTTCTGTTGGGAAGCCTTTCTGGAAAGAGTTAACACAGCAAATTTACTTCAAAGAAAAAGACCCAATAGTTGTTTTTGTCCTTAATGGTGTGTCTTTTGTAAAGCTGATGGTGAGTAGGGGTGTCCATGAAAAACCGAAAAATCGAACTGAACCGCAAAATGCAGTTAACCGAACCGGTCAATTCAATTTCGGTTCGAAATTTTTGAAAAACCGAAGGACCGGTTCGATTTTCGGTTAACCTATAAAAAAATCGATGGTTAACCGAACCGACTGGTATATATATTTATATGTATATTTTATATATATTTTAATATACGTCACATATTTTCTATGTATTTTATATAAATATATATTCATTATATATAAATATATACTTATATTATATTTATAATGATCTATTTACAAATATATTATATATTTTTAAAATATTTATAATATACTATATATCATTTATTATTTATAATATAATATTATACATATATTTATATAATATATATTATAAATATAAAAAACTGAAAAACCAAAGAACCGAACCGGTCAAAAACCGAAACCGGCAGACCAGTTAACCGGTGGTACCGGTTCGGTTTCAGTTTGGCAAAATGAAAAAATCAGTACCACTGGTTCAGTTTACAAAAAGGGGCCATGGTTCGGTTAACTGAACCGTGGACACCCCTAATGGTGAGTCTGGATATCACTTACTAATCTCCTATCAATTCACTAACATCATTTGGGAGTGGTGTACTTCTTTGTTTGGGTGCAGGTGGACCCCCCCTTCGAATGTGCAAAGCCTATTCACATGTATGCCGTTTCGGCCAACAAAAAGGGCCAAGTTTATGTGGAGGTGTATGAGGGCTGCAGTCTCTTGGACTATTTGGGAGGAGAGAAATTCATGAATATTTATAGATAAGGAGAGAAGTTTGGAAGCAATGTTGGAGGTCATCTACATTAGGGTTATACACTGGCTGAAAACCTTGGCTCTGTTCGCAGAATTCTCAGTTGATGAGCTGCAAAGAAAGTGGAAAGAGATAGCAGAACTTGTTCAAATGAGGAAGGCCTCAAATGTTTGTTGGATTCCCCCACCCCATGACTTTGTTAAACTGAACTTTGATGGCAGCAGCTTGGGCAATCCAAGGCCATCCGGAATAGGAGGAGTAATAAGAGATGAACAAGGGAAGCTGTTAGCTATGTATTCTGGACTAGTTGGAGTGGGAGATTCTTTGAGATCTGAGATTCTTGCAGCTCTTAAAGGGGTACAAAGAATCAAGGATATGCATATTAACAAGTTGATCATAGAAGGAGATTCTGAAGTGGTGCTAAACTGGCTGAAAAAGGATAGTCTTAGACTTTGGAATTACAGTAATGAAAAGAGGAAATTCAAGTGGCTGACTAAGGACATGGAAATCCAATACAAATGGGTAAAAAGAAGTGCGAACTCTTTGGCAGATGGTCTAGCTAGACAAGGGGTGAACAGACATTCTATTTTTTGGGCTGTCTTGTAATGTTTGTTCTTCTGATGTTTAATGGTTGTTCTTGGAAGCTAAGATTGTTTAGCCCCCTTGCCCTGTAATTTTCTCATATTTTTAATATTAATTCAATCCACGGTTATTGATAAAAAAAAATACTGAAATGTTCCTGTATTTCAACCTGCGTGCTTAAGAACATAAATATTCTTGATTGGGAGTAGGCAACCATCTCATGCACAAAACGATGTTTATCGTAATTTGCCTTAATATACACAGGCAACAGTCAAGGCACTCCTACATTGTAATAGAGAACCTAAAAAAGGAACTTCTGTCTCAACACAATCCTTTGTTCCATCTGTTTTTTTTTTTCTCATCTAACCCCTAAAACCCCTCCAAGAAGGGAAAATAGATGGGCGGAGGTGTGGCTAGGGGAGGATAAATATGGAGTTCTTAATCATAATTACTAGATTGTGCAATGCCGTTTTATCCTGTTGTTCATTTTGTTCTCCCTTTTTAAGGAAAATGGTATTGAAGAGGCTAAGAGCATTATCTAGATGCTAGAGCTGCATTCTCTGATATATGTGAACTCTGAGTCTCTAAGATCCGTCTCCCTCTTCCTACGTATGAAGACAACGGAGACTATTCTGTAGTAACATTTGAGGTACGTACCAACACCGTCGGTCCAACCAAAAATAAGTAAACCAATAAGAAGATTTCCTTCCCTCAACCCCTCCAGAGCCGCTAACCATGCAACAAAGCAAATTAAGAATGTGATCATCCTCAAATTCAATATCATGTATACACATACACAAATAAAACACCAAAATTAAGAACCACCGGGTGGAGTTATCCTTACCTGAACAAGGTTCGAAATCAAAAGTCCAAAGAAATTGAAGAATCAACAGGAAGATCCAATCAGCAAGAAGCCCAAGTCGAAACGAACCTGAAAACCTAAAAAGTTGGCACAAAGTAGAGAGAGGAAGAGGCAATGAAGAAGAGGAAGAAGGCAGCGAGGGGGTGGAGTGAAGAAGCTTCAGCGTCATCCTTTTATGTACAATTTTGCTTTGGAGGATACGAAGAAGAGACGTATTATTTGTTCGTCGCAATCGAAGAATCCAGCAGAAATTGCAGACAACAAATGGACGAGCTACCCACCGCTTGAATCCAAAGGTATCCACATTCCACCATGCATTGCTGTCTGTCTCTCTGATTTTTCTTTCACACAAAATCTGTTTTTGGGTACTTGACGGGGACGGGGTTTTGTTTCCAAGGGACTGCCGACTGGGCTGGGCTGGGCTGGGGAGTAGTGGCATGTGTTAAGGCTGACGCTTTCTAGTTTTGTACACGCAACTGTGTTTCGTATCCACGTTATCAGAAAGGAAGGCCCACAGCCCACACGGCCTTGGCCCTTAATAATCTAATTTTGGAGTTCACGACATCCAAATTCCAGATCGATCTTGTCACTTGTCACTTTGTCAGATTCTCATAGGACAGAGAATCTCAATCGTTTGATGACTAATGGGTCATCTCGAAAGGTTTGACCATCTGATTTAGTCATTTGACTCGTCTAATCTAATCTGTCCAAACTCATATTAATTGTAGTAGTAATTTTGTGTTTTGAAGAAGCAAATGAGGCGTAGGGATTTTCCGCACTCAGATTAGAAGCATTAAGATACGTGATAAGTTTTCATGCTTTTCAGTGGCACATCAGGCATCTCATTTCTAAAAGGCAAAACAAAAAACAGTATTAGGCATTAGTAAATAGGTTTTTGTTTCTTGAGTATGATTCATGAATGAATTTCTCGACTCAATTCATTCTTACCATTTTGCTTTTTCAAGAGGATGGATGAGTTTGATTTACATTATGGTTTTCAAAATTGGATTGGACGATCGGATCAGAAATCGGTCAAGTGACTGGTTCTATTTTACCCTAAAACCGTTAATTTGAACAGAAACATTGATTTGATCAGTAAATTGCTGATTTAGGCGGTCAAACCGTTGAATGGTTTTCGCTAATTTTTAATTTTTTTAATTTTTCATTAGAATGGGTTGGCCATTCAGCTCAAATGATCAGATCATTCGACCCGAAAACCGTCCCCCTGACCGGTTCATTGTCCAATTCGGTTTTAAAAACCTTGATTTACATAGACAAATACACGTTCAAAAAAATATATATGTGTTTGATTCCAAATCTTTAATGGAAGTTATATCTTGGATTCAAAAAGAAAAAAACTTTGACTTCATTTAACTTATAAAATCAAAATAGTTCAAATTGGAAAAGTCTTGTTTGGAAATTATTAGATTCCAAAGTCAATACAACCTACATTCCCGTTCCTGAATTGGGGAAACTGGTTTCATTTTGGTGGGACCCACTTGAGAAAAAGGAAAATCAGTTAACATCAAAAGCATGCTAGATAGGCGTAAGATTTATAATGCATCATGTATTGGGGGTGAGTGTGAGTTCTGATTTACTTTTGTCTCATATTTAACTTTGTTTTATTTATTTGTAAAAAGTAAAATAGGAAGTAAAATGATGTGATCCCCATCTTATATATGAAAAAGAATGGGGGTATGATGAGGGTTATTTATTTGAGAGTGAACAGCCAAAGTTTTTCCATCGTATATAATGGTCTGTATGTTATTTGAGAAAATAGTGGTAGCCAGTTTATTTTGGAAGTTCAGATCAAATTCTGAAGTTGGTTGGTGGAAAGAGTTAGGGTCTGATTTGTGAGAATAGGGGTCTAGAATCAGAATCGGAATGGTTCAACAATTTGATTGAGAAGAATCAGAATTCTATTCTCATTCCTAGTGGACTAGCATCCCCTCATTTGAGGGGATGATCATATTCCCTCCCCTTTCCTGGGAACGAAAATCCATTCCAACCAAATTCTGGTTCCAGTCTGAACCAAACAAGTGAGAAGAATAGTCCATTTAGATTCTGATTCTGACTATGAACCAAACAGACTCTTAGTTTCTTTTGCTTCAAGATGTTCTCCGCTATAGGGTCATGGATATGTTAGGTTTAATGTTACACTTGTTTGGACCCGTGTGGTGTACCACTGCACGGGCTTTGTCAAGCAGAATTGAAGCAAAAAAGAGCCATATCACATTTTAAATTGAACCAAGCCAATCCATGTCCTAACTCAAGCAATGCTTTTAACAACTTAGATAAGTTAATTGAATTTATTAAATTTATTGAAGTTAATAGATTTGTATTAATTTTTATTTTTAATTATTTAGTTATTATTAAATTAATTTTTAATTCAATATATTAGAAATAGTATAATTATTCTTACATTTTTGTCATTGTAATTAATTAGTTGTAAAAGAAATAATGAATTTATACGCTGGTTGAAGTAACGTTGACTACGGAAAAGGATTTAAAGGCAAGTATGCTAATCGGTCAATTACTTCTAACTTTTAAATGTACTAAGAGGGACCCATGCCATGCATAGGCTTTGTTAAAATAATTTCAGGCAGGGTTAGCGTGTAAGTTGGGTCTACCCAATTCAATCAAAGCTTTTGTACAGATTGGGTTTGAGTTTTTGAACTTTAAGATGGACTTGTACCAAAAAAATTCAAGCCTAAACTAGGGGTGAGCACTATTTGGTTAAAACCGAAAAATTTTGGTTTTGCCTTTTTTGGTTCGGTCTTTTCAGTTTTTAACTAATTTGGTTTTCGATTTTGATTTTTTGAATTAGAAATTTGGTTAACCGAATTAATCGAACTTTCTATTATTATATGTAATATATAATATATTTATATATTAATATATAAATATATAATATAATAAAATTTGGTTTCATAATATATAATATATATTGTATGTTATAATATATAATAAAGTATATATTATTAAAATTCAGTTTTAACCAAAATAATAAAAAAATTGAACCAAATATTTTGGTTTCAGTTGTTTCAGTTTTTTTATAATTCAGTTTTAATTTTTTAGTTCGGTTTTTAAAATTTTGATTTATTCGGTTTGGTTTTTAACCAAATAAACCAAATGCTCACCCCTAACCTAAATTAAACTCAGACCAGGCTTACCATATTTTATCTAGACAATGACCCCATACTAAGTAAGGAGCAACTGCAGTATCATTTAATTTGAAATTTACTATTTAACAATAAAAAATCAATGTCCCGTCCACCCCAAAAAAAGTTTCAATAACTTTGAAATCATTAATCTATTTATAAAATAGTAAAATTAGATGGATGTTTATAACAAAATTACCAATATTGTTCAATATTTAGGGACATATGAATGGATAAAAAGCATTTAAATGATATCCATTTAAAGAGGCAAAGAAGGAAGAAAATCATTCAAAGAGCTGCTAAGAAATACAATCCATGCCAAACAACATTTGCAGATGCATCCATCTGCAAAAATATATGACTACAATCAAATCATCATCATATATGGCTACAATCAATTGATAATATAATCAGGACTCCAAAGCCTATTAAACAGAAAAAACATGAAAGAAATGAGAATAATGGGACCATCCAAGTATGAAAGTCACCTCCAAGTTAGGTGGCAACACTTCTTTTGGTCAATCATGGTTATGGATTTTAAGTCTAAGCTCCCCACGATGCACGTAGACTCGCTAGAATTTATTTTTAGAAAAAAGGTAGGCAAACCTATACATAACCTAATAATATGTTTGGATTATGGGAATTGGGAGATAGAAATAGGAAATGTAGGTTGAAATTATAATTTTGGGCATGTTGATGTGTCAAATTCAAGTTAATTAGAATACTGATAGATTTTTAGTTCATTCATTTAGTGGTAGTTTGAATACTTTTTTTTATTCCATGTCTTTATTGAGTAATATAGATTAATAATGTATTAATAATTATGAAATTAGTAATAATAATATCATTATTATTACTATAATTTACTAATATTATATTCTTATTATGTGTATATTGATTTTGAAATTAGTATTATTATTATTATTATTATTATTATTATTATTATTATTATTATTAATTTTATTTTTATTATGAAGTAATTAATTTGTTATAATTACGATTTTTAGTTAATTTTTGAAATAGTAATTTCTTTTATAATTCTTTTAGTTTAACAATAATGAATAATTGAGAGTTTATAATTTAACTTTCACTAAATGAAATATTTATTGGAGAACAATAATAGTAATAACTATAATTACTTATAATAAAATAAGAATAATAGTAATAATAATAATATAAATAAGTAACATTAATTATATATTTATAAAATAATTAATATGAATTAATATAAATATAAAATGATTATACCCCTATTAATAAGTAACATTATTAAAATACTTATTAATTATCATTAATTAATTAACATTCCGAAGTAATAATTATCATTGTTATAATTAAGGAATTAATTATCAGTAAGTAATTATAATCAGTAATTAATTTTTATCAAAAATCATTATTATTAGTAATAATTAATTATAATTATTGATAATAATAATAATATAATTAATTATTTCATATAAATGTATGAATTACAATTTCTGATAATAATTCTAATATAAATAATTAACATTAAATATTTATTTTCAAAATAATTAATATGATTTAATATAAATATAAAGTGATTATTTTCGAATTATTAATTACCATTCCGAATTAATAATGAGAAAATTATCAGTAATTAGTTAATATCAGTAATTAAGTATTAGCAGTAATTAAGAAATTATTATCAGTAATTAATTATTATTAGTAATTAATAGATGAAATTAATTAATTAGAAGTCATTAATTATTATTAGTACCCCTCGCTTTCAAAAAGTTGACTCATCATCATCGTCATCATCAATGGCAACAACTTGATGAATACATAATTTGATGAAAATAGGTAAATATCATTAATTTACTTTTTTATCTTTTGGAAAACTGAATAAGAGAAAAATAAAATGGTTAGCATTGCAAATGAAAAATTATTTGGATTTTTGCAAAAAAAAATATTGAACATAAAAAGCCAATTATTCAAAAATAAGGTCGTTAAATCAAAGATTAATTAGAATTATTCAGTAAATAATAATTTTAAGAAATTAAAATTAATAATTAATTATTTGTCTGAATTAAAATGGGTAATTTCAGCAAATAATTTTAAGTAATTAAAATTTACTATTAATTTTTTTAATAATAATTAGTATTATTAATAGATCAATGATATATTAATAAATATGAAATCAGTAATAATAATAAG